ATTAAAAAAATTAAAAGTCAAATAATCAATAATTTAAAGATTAAAGTAAAAAATAATTAATAATTACAATAATTAATAATTATAAAAAAAAATGACTCAAAATAAATTAAAGATCTATTGTTAAGAAAGATGTTAAAACATTAAAATTATATATACTTTGAATTAGTAAAAAAAAAAAAATGAGTTTATTTGATAAATTATGATATAATTGACAATTAACTTTAAATTTACTTTTTTTTACCAAATATTTAACATATATTTTTTATTTTATACTTTCATTGGCTTTTAAATTTGCCCCCTTCTTTATTTTTTACCAAATTATGGTACAATAGTTAACCTATATATCCTACACTACTTTTTTAATTTTATACGTTAATTAGCACTGACACTTTATTTTTTGACCTTTAACAATTGCAGTGGGCTCCTCTTGTAGAATTTTTCTATCCAAGGGTTCCATAAATCTTGCTTGTCGTCCACGCTTAGACATCTTTAACAAAAGCAGTGGGCTCCTCTTGTAGAATTTCTCCATCAAAAGGCGCGCACCATGCTTCTTCTAGGTCATTGCACAGCAATGTGTGTGGTAATTAGCCCTCAAGACGCCTCTAAGGATAGCCGTGGGCTCCTCTTGTAGATTTTTTCTATCCAAAGGTGCCATCAGTCTTGGTCGTCGTCCATGATCATTGTGCTGGTGCTTCTTCTGCGTCGTTGCATACCAATTTGGGGTTAAAGCCAACCGTAGTTTTCGTACTTTGTAAAAATATTTATTACTGTTTCTCTACTAAGAAAATGTTTTATGTCGAACGAAAAGATCCATTAGATAAATTATTGGTTCTAAGCTATCTCTGACGATGAATAAACAATTCAAAGTACTTTTCTTGCATAATCTTCTATTTGGCATACAGTATAAATATCATCCCTCAACTATATTTTTTTTTTGTTCAATGTCATCCTCAATTGAATGCTGTCCATATTACCATTTACATTATCCGTTAATTACTTAACAGTCAAACATTCAAACTATTGTTTACTTATTTTTTGTACACTTGTACTCATTGATGGGATCAATGGGACCCATTTCATGCATTTCTTTTATTTTTCAGTATTCTTTAGTGTAATCATCAAGCAAGTTACAGAGGAAATGGTTCGGAAAAAAGGAAAAAAGAAAAAGATAACAGAGCTGGTGGTCTAATTTTATAGATGATATTTATATAAAATATTAATAATTTATTTTTTTATTTTTAATAAT